AAACACTCCAGGAAACCTGGGTGTATCTTCTTTCTTCCTGAAGGAGAAGTGCATTTAGAGGTGCGTCCTGAGCAGAGGAACAGAAGGTGAACAGTACTATGGATGAGTCTTCTGAAGGAAGGAGGCCAACTAGATGCCACTTCTCCCTTTTTGTCCCTTGACTGGTTACAGTGATGTTTGCAGTAAAAGGTGGACATATGGGATTACAGGGTGAACCAGAGTCCATCCAGATTCTTACTGAAGACAAAGCTGTGCCTCCATATTGTCTACTGGGAGGAATGATTCTCATTCAATTCTAGTACAATATATCTTCAATTTTTGGATGTGTCTTAAGGGATTTTTCTTGGTCCCTTGAAGAATTTGGGTTCTGCTTTTAAAAGGTAGAACTGTTCCTTATTGTCATTTGTGGGCCTCCCTATGGCTTCAGGAATTGCTTAGAGTTTTGCAGTTTAGGACAGAAATTAAATAAGAAACTCTGCAAAGATAAAATCGTGCCTATGATTAACATTTAACCTATGTACATTTTCTTAGAAGGCAAAACAAGGTAGTATAAGCACTTTCAAGCTTAAAATTCTACAATAATAGGTTCTCAGGTTACTGTGTTAATACAAATGTAATTTCAAAAGCAATGTTTTATATTACTGAAACAGGGCTGCAAGTACTTAGATTTTTAAAAAATGGATTGAACTTTTAGAGAGTTTATACATTATTTGTTCTGCTAGGTATTTGAGGTAGGTCTGATAGTTCGTCTTAATAGAATCTGAAATATGCGCATCTATTCAGCTTAAATCATTAGCTGCAATGTATACGGAGCTTATTTTTCCTGTAAGCAAGGGGTTGGCAAGCTATGGCCCACAGGCCATGTCTGACCCACCAACTGATTTATGCAGCTGTTTAGCTCAGTTGGTTAGAGCATGGTGCTAATAATAACACCAGGGTTGTAAAGGCATACCTATGTCTTGTTGCACTAGGCTTCTCCACTATCCTAAAATTACTCATTTCTTTTAAAAGATCTGATGAGTCTTGGCACTCTATTCATCTCAATAGTAGCTAGCCATTTGGAGAAAGTAGACTTTAGAAATATCAAACAATTATGTCAGTGATCCTTCACCTTTTTTCAGGAGGTAAAGTCAAAGAATACCAGTCCAGCTTCCTGTAGGATCAAAGTGACATTCAGCTGTCCTTTTTAATTTGTCCTTTTTATTTATCATAAAGCTGCCATCATTTAAATTTGCTTGACAATCTGAGAACAAACACTGATAGGTAGGATTGCTATAGAATAACCTCAATAAAGTCATATATAGAGTTACTCACAGGGCCGTGTCCCTGCATGATCTTAATCTTAGCCAGTACTTCTCTTTCCCCCTTTCAGTAATTAATGATCCCAAAAGAAATGCTTTTTTTTTAAAGTACAAAATAATGGAAGCAGAATCTTGGCTCTTATATGTAAAAGTGTATGACTGGCTTGTCAAAAGGATGGCAGTAGTTATTTTTGACTCTTTACTTTGGTCATATGGCATAGTTCACTTAAATCAACTGTGTATATCTTTCAGCACATCTTCATTGCCACCACTAGACTGGCCTTTGCCAAGTCGTTATGAACAATGTGAGCTGAAAATAGAAGTGCAGCCTAAAACTCACCATAGGGCTCATTATGAAACTGAAGGCAGTAGAGGAGCAGTAAAAGCATCTACAGGTGGACACCCTGTTGTGAAGGTATGAAGTTTAACTTTTACTGTGAACAATTTGTGTTGTTAAAATAAAATCTCATTCACTTACTAGTGTGTACAGTAAACTATAAGCTTTTTTGATAATTCTGAACAGGTAGCATTTCTCTGTAGTTATTTAATTTTACAGGTATAAAAACATTGTATAAGTATGGAACTTATACAATTAATTTCACTGTATATTATAGTCTTGCCAGTGGATTTATGATGCAGTATTTAACTTCTACTGCTATACTGAAAGGAACCGTTTTGGGGGGAAAATTATAGCAGGTTATGTGTACTAGATCATACAGAAATGTGTACCATAAGTGTGGTAGAATACAATCAAAACGTCTTACCCTCTGCATCAAGGACATATTTCTGAACATGATTGAATGGTGGTAGTGCATGATAAACTGGTGGTGATGTCTTATTGGTGCACCCCTAGTCTCAATCGGTTTGTCTTGTTGGTGCATCCCTAGTCTCAATCAATCACAGCCTCTTCCCTTCCCCATTTTCACTGGACTCTGTGTCCTTGTCTTGATCTACACTTTTAGTCCTTGACTTGATCTATACTTTTAGTCTGCAGATTGTTCCTTTACCTAATATATTCCTTCTCCCTCTTTCCCACTTACCAGAGAAACTGGTTTCCTCCTTCACTCTGTGTAGATTCCCTAAGGTATTGTAATAAATTCTAAGAAATTCTTGGTAATTTTAAGTTCAATAAACTGTATACCAAAACATACACAGTAAACAAAGTGCAGCATTTCCCTTTATCTCCCCAAACGAACCAGATTTTCTTGCTGTTGAAATAAGATTAATATGTGCAACTTCCTGCTCTTTTCTGGCCCATTAGGAAACAGTAAAAAGTGCATTATATCACTGACTTTCTTAAATATGCATTGTTAATCTATAAAGCAAAGCAGGAGCGGACTTTTTAAAGCAGAGGTAGGGAATTATTTTGGGCAGAGGGCAGCTTACTGATTTTAGGCAAGCCATCAAGGGCTGCATGGGTAACCTCGCCCCTTGACAGGTGCCCCACCTCTTGATCACTATCTTGGAACCAGAAGTCCAACATCTGACCTTTGCCACCAGAAGTCCCTCCTCTTGACCTCCCCTTGCCCCCCGGAATTACTCCAATCAGCAAGGGGTTTTGCCATCTCTAAACCAGAAAGATACCAAATAATACTATAAAAATACCAAAAAATGTACTACAGCTTTCATTAATTTAATCTCAAAAAATATTTTTGTCCTGATTTACATGTGTTTGCATAGTGTACACAGAGGTGATAGTATAATAGCTTAAAATGAAGTCTTACTCTTGTATATTGTCGGGGGTGTGAGGGGGTGATAGGGTATAGCTTTGTGGGTTATGTGGGGTGTGGGGGAGGGTGTGTGTGTGTGTGGGATTTGTAAGGCCATGTGTATGTATAGGGGGTGTCTTGGGTGTGGGTGGGTATGGGTTTTCTGGGGGGCTGTGAGTGTGTGCAGGGAAGATGGCTGGGGAGGGTTACGGATTGCGTGGAGTGGGGCAGGTTTGCCTACAGCCTGCCCCACCCCTTCTGCCACAGGCAGAGTACCCGCCAGTACTTCTGCAAGCCCAGGATCTGTGCTCCTGCCACTCCTAGCCCTGGGGCACTGGTGTGGGCCCCATGCTCCTGCTTGTTGCAACTTGCCCCCCATCTGCCATTACTGCCCTTCTCCTGCTGCTTCCCCGTTTCTCACCCCCCGCCCCCAGCTGCTCTGGCATCATGTCCCAGCTGCTCCTGCGGTCCTGGCACTGCAGGTGGGAACCACTTGATGCCAGAGCTCAGTGGGTGGTGGGGAGCATGGAGCGCAGCAACAGCTGGGCAGGAATGCGGGACCCAGGCTGGTGCAGTGGGGCCAGCACTGACGGGGCGTAGAGCGGGGTGGCAGGAAAGTAGGGCTGGGCTACCTGGAGCTCCCTCGTCTCCCTGCTTGGGCAGTGCAGCCCAGACCCCAGGGTGGGGTGGGGTGGGCTGGGACCAGGGCTGTGCCAAGCTCTTCCTGGTGGGGCGGGGCTGCACTGGGAAGGGGCTATAGTGAATTTGTGGCTGCAGCCCCCGCGCATAGTCTCTTTCCAGTGTAGCCCTGCCCGGCCGGGAAGAGCTTGGCACAACCCCAGCCCCAACCCATGCTGTGCAGAACCGGGGTCACGTGCCACCCCCTTGCCCTCCTGGACGAGTGGCAGGAGCAGTGGCAGGAGCTGCCAGATGAGCTGGCAGGTGCCAGACTAGCTGCTAGACCAGTGGGTCCTGGCTGAGTGGCGCACAGTGGTGGAAGCTGCCCCCCGCCTCCTCACACCCCCAGATGAGCT